TGCATATCAAGAAACAGTTGAGAATATTTCATATTGCTCAATGGAGTGACAGGAACTGGAACATTTTAACAGTTTTTATTCTGTCAGCTCTCTGATCACCATTAGTGAGCCAGTGGGAGAGGCAACTTTTAATTTGTGAAATGGAAATGTATTTCAGTTAGTTATCACATTTAAAAATATTTATGTTGTATCCAAAATATACACACCAATACACACATGCCTAATGTTTTCATTTCCAATTTTCAATTTTTAAAAATATGGATTGGATTTTCAGGATATAAAAGAAATGAGGTAACTGGCATCACTAGGAAATTCTCCAGCGTGGACTTTTTTAACTTAGCATAGGTACAGACAGCACTTCTTAAAACTATTTGATGTATATTTAATGTTCACTTTTATGGTAACCCTACATTCAATGCCATTGGCCAAAGCAAGTTATAGCTCTTCTGGTTGCACACCAAAGGGCTGGTAGATCAGCACCATGGACAGAGAAATATTATGCAAAAGATCACTTTTTTTTGCTAGACTTTTCTAATAAACACATGTAAATGTCATTTGTATGGTAGGAATGTTTATTTTTCCATTGTAGTTTACATTCAATATTATTTTGTATTAATTTAATGTGTAGACAATCATATACATTACAAAATGATCACCCCAATATTTCAAGTACCCACCTGGCACCTAGTGTTTTACATATGCTAAATGAAATAAGTCAGACAGAGAAATACCATATGATTTCACTTATATGTGGAATCAAAAGATCACTTTTAAGGCTGCTTATAAATGATAGCTATGATATCAGATGTATTACCAAGGAAAGACTGGTTTAAATGTTCCTTTGAGGATCAAGAAGAGAATGCCTCTGGGTTTGGGTCAAATCAGAGGATGGGGTCTTATGAAAATAACCACTCCTGGCCAGCTGGTGTGGTCCAGTGGTTGAGCATCGACCCATGCACCAAGAGGTCGCCTGTTCGATTCCCAGTCAGGGCACATGCCCAGGTTGTAGGCCCAATTCCCAGTGGGGAGCATGCAGGAGGTAGCCAGTCGATGTTCTCTGTCATTGATGTTTCTATCTCTCTCTCCCGCTCCCTTCCTCTCTCTCTAAAAATCAATAAAAGACCAAAAAAAAACTTTTTTTAAAAGAAAGAAAATAATCACTCCTCCAAGAGGTCTCGAGTGGTATGATCTTCATTTATTGACCTATACTGATTCACTTTTTTCAACAATCTGCTTTTCTCTTCCCAAGAGGCCAGCATTTTCATGCTAAAGTAACTGTGAACAGCTACCTAGGAAATGTGGAGGAAATTTGTTCTTTTTACCTATCTAGCATCCATGATCCTTTTTGCCTTTGCAAACTACCCTTCAAATAAATAAGCTGTTTAGAAAAGATACTAAGGAATTGCTTATGCTTTTAGAGCGGGTTTATAATTATATTGAAGTTATATTTTTAAAATGAGAGTCCCTGTGTTTTAGCAGCTGATTCTGACAGTTACAAATAAAGTAATACGATGTCTGGAACTTGCTTCAAAATAATCCAGGATCAGGGGAGTAGGTAGACATATAGGGAAGACAAGACTGGCCATGGGTTGCTAATTGTTAAAGCTGGAGGGTGAGAACATAAAAATTAATTCTACTTTTTTACGTTTGAAAATTTCCATTAAAATATACATATATGTGTGTGTGTACACATGCACTAGTAAGTGGACACAAAATAACCCAGACAACGATTCCTGCAGATCTTATGACCCTGCACCTAAGGGATAATGAAGAACAATTACCTCGGCTCCAAGAGCAGCCTAAAGGAGGGTAGGTTATAACTGTCCTATGAAAATCTGAGTTTGTCTTGCTCAAGTCCATGTGATGAACAGAAAGTTCCGATGTCCAGGCCTGATCACTTTCTCTAGAGCAAGATGTCTTAGGACAGAAAGCTCCATAAAATGAAATCTTTCATGTACCTCCCTGACAAAAAGAAGCTGAGGGCAGCCTGGAGTTTCAGGGACTGAGGATGAGTGTAAGTAGCAGGTGCCTGGTTTGTGATGATGGATCCAAGGTCAATACCTAAAGTTCTAGGTAAGAACCAAAACAAAACAAAACAGAAAACATTTTCAAATATAAAATGGGCTAAATAAAACCTAGATGTGATGCCAAGCACATCAGGATGAAGAGCTAAAATACAAAGAGGGTGGAAAAGTACAAAAGGAAGACACACAAATATTTTGGGATGGGGGTACTGTTAAGTGTTTTACATTCCGCAGGCATGTCAGAAGCCAATAAGATGACAGAGGCTGGTGGATAAAATTATAACATGAAAGTAAAAGTGCTTCAAAACCTGTGAAACTGCACACACAGGGAGAACTGTTCAGAGGCTATGGGCAGTAAATGAGGGTGAGTGCCAACTACGTGTAAGAAACTGCTTTGAGCACCTGGCATACATGGTAAAATTTTAAGATCCTCAACATTGAGCTAACATTCTAATGGAGGAGATAAATGTATTTGCCAATTATTTAAAAGTATAGCCTGGCTGGTGTGGCTCAGTGATTGAGCGTTGACCCATGCACTAAGAGGTCGCCGGTTCGATTCCCAGTCAGGGCACATGCCCAGGTTGTGGGCCTGATCCCCAGTGTGGGGCATGCAGGAGGCGGCCAATCAATATTCTCTCTCATCAATGTTTCCATCTCTCCTTCTCCCTTCCTCTGTCTCTCTAATATATCAATAAAGAGAAAAAATATTTAATAAAAATAAAAGTGTAATCATCTCACCTGGCTGTTTACACAGAAAGTGTGGCCTCCAGTTTGCCACAGTCCCCACCATTCCCTATTGTCTTAAACTCTACCTACTTCACTCAATTTGTTGTCTGACTGAGCCCTGCAGGCTTTTCAGTTTGTGACACCTGGTCTCCAATGTCCCTGGACTGCTTGTGACATTTGCCTCTCTTAAAGCCACCAAATGGCCCAAGGACTATATAAAAGATCCTATTCTTAGCTGAATCTGAATTCTGGGTTGCCACTTAATCGGATGTAACTTTGGGCAATTATATATCACCTCGCTGAAATCTCAATGTCCTCAACTCTAAAGTGAAGGTAATCCCATGTGCTTTATTGGATTTCAGTGAGACTAAACTGGGGGTAATCAGCTCTTACTCCTACTTTGGATCTCATTCCTAGCATTACTCATTCAAAGGAAGCTTTCCAGATCTCCTGACTAGGTCCAACTCCCTTTATAACACAGGGTTCTCGGCATCGCTGTGTTAGTTTGTTGACCATTTGATTAACGCCTGCCTGTCCAACCAGACTGAAAGCTCAGCAGTGGCAGGGATCCTGTTTGTACTCACAACCTCTCACCATGCCTGGCATAAGACAGGTACTCGATGCACACTATTTTAAAGGAAAAGAAGACATGAAACAGAAAACTGGGTAAGACCACCCCTGGCCTACAGGAGGTGACCCTAGCTTCTCTCTGACCCTCCCTCACAGAACGCCTGTTCCGCTAGAGGCACCAGAGGTGCACCTCCAGTTTAAAGTAAGTCTTTGTACTCTGACTTACGCACCTGAACTAATACAATACTGAATGTCAACCCCAATCAAAAAGTTGAAAATATTTATAAGTCGCTACACTCTTCAACGGGCTTTCCACCTTTTAGAACAGGGGTTTTTGCTTTGCCCATTGATCTAGGCCTGGCATGTGATCAATAAGAGAGGGAGGGATGGGTGACAGTAAGGTGCGGGGCCCCACGGAAGCCGGGAGACGCGGGCAGCCCGTCCTGGCGCCGCCGCCGCGCCGCCGGGAGGGGTCGTGGGGCCTGCTCGGGGCTCCGGACAGAATCCTCCTCCTGTCACGTCAAACTACACATCCTCGAGCCGGGTGGCCAGAACCCCCAGAGCCAAGGGGCGCCCTCACGCTGCTCCTCGAGAACGTACGGAGCCACTCACAGGTGGACCGGACAAGGGCCGTGTCCGGGAGGAAAGCGGGGCCCCCGGAACCCCCAGGGTAGCCGCCTGCAGGAGGCCCGCCAGCACCTGCCGGACGAGGAGCAGAAGCCGCGCTGGTCCCCACGCCGGCGCTGCTTCTGCCGCAGGAAGGACGAAGCAGCGCCTCCCCACTGGCGCGCCTCCATCTCGGAGACGCCCCGGGCTCCCCGATTCCCGGGGTGAGGGAGGACCCCACGGCCCTTTCTGCTGCTGCCCACTAGGTCCCGCGGCGTCCCCGCACTCGCGAGAAGAGCCCCCGCACGCCCCGCACCCCGAACGCCCTCAGCAGCCGTAGCCTGCGCTGCGCGCTCTCGCGAGACCACCATGCGGCCCGCTCCCACCTCAGCCCCCGCGGCGAGAAAGCGTACCCCGGCCCCGCGGCGCGAGGTCGCGGGCGGCGCATGCGTGGCCGCGGCTCCCAGAGCACCCCGCGCAGTCCACGGGCGGAGCGGGCGCGGCCGCGCGGGGAGCCGGCCGCCCACCCGTGAGGGGCCTGGCGTGATCCCGCGGCTGCTCTCCCTTCAGCGGCGGGACTGCGGCGCGGCCTTTGCTCGGCGTGCGGACGCGTGAGGACGGCCGGGCCGCCTCGGCCCGGAAGACCCGGCGTTGGTCCCGGGCGCCGCCGGCCCGCACCGGCCCCGCAGCGGCCCGGGCGCGCCGCCCTGCCCGAGCCTCGAACCCTGGGCCGGACGGGGTCTGCACGTCCGGCCCTCCCACCGGGCCGCGCCTCCCGGGAGCCGGACCCTGGACAGCCGGCACACCCCTGGGGCCTGGCCGTGCGCCCCCGCCCCCTGCGCGGAGCCCCGGCTTTCCCCCGGCCTCGCCGCCTGCTGGCCCTGGAAGAAGTGCTCCTGGTGCCCGCATCGCGGCAGCACGCCGTCCCCACCGGAGGCCCAGTTCCGGCGCTCGGCACAGTGACCGTTTCGAGGGCCGGGGTGCATTTGATTCATCAGCGGCCGTAGCCGGCCCTGCTGACACCCCGTTTTCCCTCTCCGCCTGCGTGTCGGTGAAGCAGCTGGCCCTCCGAGGGCTGGGGTGTGTGAGCCTGCTTCGAGGTGGACGAGAGGCTGGCCGCCGGGTTGGAGCATGGACCCTCCGCCGGACGTGGGGGGCTGCCTGGTAATGAAGGTGGAGCAGGACCCCGGCTGGGCATCGGAGCCTGTCCCTGAAGGACCCGCGAGCTGCGAGTCCGAGACCTTTCGCAGATGCTTCCGGCAGTTCTGTTATAAGGACGTGAGCGGACCCCACGAAGCGTTCAGTAAACTCTGGGAGCTTTGCTGCCGGTGGCTGAAGCCGGAAATGCGCTCCAAGGAGCAGATTCTCGAGCTGCTGGTCATTGAGCAGTTTCTCGCCATTCTACCGGAGAAGATGCAGGCGTGGGCGCAGAAGCAGTGTCCGGAGAGTGGAGAGGAAGCGGTGGCCCTGGTGATACACTTGGAGAAAGAGGCCGGAAGACCGAGACAGCCCGTGAGAGAGCATGTTCCAGATTTTTGTGTGTAGAAAGAAGGGGGTGGGTACGCCAGACATGCGTTGCAGGAAGTGCTCATTATGAAAGGATAGTGGTACTAAAGAAAGACCTTCACAGTGAATTCCCTTGAAGATCAAGTAGGACAATACGCTTTGGTTGAAGTAAGATCTTCCAAATGAAACTAAACAGTATTCATCTAAATATTTGTTTCAAGTCTTTGGCATAATGTTTTCCAAAAAACGATATGCGAGAATTTATGCTTCACAGGGTTTGACGTTTGCAGCTTGGTCCTGAAGAGGGTTGGGGGGATAACAGACTTCAGCAGTTATCCCAGGGCCCTCTCTAATCCTTCACTGTCCCAATCCGTGATTTCTGAAGTGGCCTCAACGCCATCATCCCATTACTCTTTTCGGTTTAACTACCAGGTCTTGATTTGTCAGTGGCTTTGCATGGTCATTTGGTTGTTTTGCAGCAGCCGTTCCATTAACCTCATGGAATCCTGCACGATTTGCAAGATGTGCAGTTTCGCCTTGCTCAGGATTTGCACTTGCGTAAAGATCCGATTACCGTCATGGTTCTTTGTTGGTCAAGGATAGACACTCAATGTGGAGATTAAACTTATGTTTTCATTTCACTAGTGAATTTGTGTTCTGATAACTCACTTCTCTGTGAGCCTAGTAGATGTGAGGACTCAGATGATCTCTGTTCTAATAACAAGAAGGCTCTGTACTTCATGCCTGACAGATTTGCCCCTTTGTATATTAAAAAAGAGCACTCTTCATTCCCTTAGTCCAGACTTATGGACAGTACTATTAAACCAATACCCTTAGAGACTCCATTCTTGGGAATGGACTGCAATTTCATTCATTCCTTCTCAGATCATCTATCCTTATTTGCTATCTTTTTCTCCCTTTTTTTTTCATTATGGCTTTATTTCCCAGGTTTGCAATCCTGGGCACTCAGAGAAACAAGCCCCACTTGGAGCAGTGTGGGATGTGGCAAACTTTCCACCAGAGACCCATCCCAGAGTGGTGTCTCGGGAAGAAGCTGGAAGCCTGCACTCAGGACACCAGGAGCAGCTGAACCCAAAGAGAGAACATCGGCACTTACCCAAGAATGGTAAGAACTCAGAAGATGCCCAGTGCAGACCATGGCAGATTTATTTTGTAGCCCTAACACTATGACTTGCTCAGAATAGTAACCACTCAATACATATTTGAGAATAAGTTGAATATTGGGGAGAAAGACTTTATTAGCTCCATCTTTCGAGGGGTACACTGCCTGTAGTGTACAGGACCATGTAATTTCTTTAGCATACTGAAGGGTATTAACTTACACTAGGGGATGCAAACTGGTCAATCATGCGCCAAGTCAGATTTATTTTGTTTTACCTACAAAGGATTTTTGGTTTGGAGGTTTTGTTTGTTTGTTTTTAGTTTTCAAGGTTTAAGACTTTTGATATTTTATACAAAAATCCAGATTTCTGGCTTCTCTTGAAAAAAATTAAAAGGTTGGCTATCCCAGGTCCATAGTCTCACAAAGAAGCATCAACTGGCGCTAAGCATTGCTGTACTTTTCAATGGGACATGTGCTCTCTCCTTCCCACATGCCTTACCTGGCCCGTTTCATGATGTACTCTATCTGCTTACTCCCTAAAGTATTGGCATTTGTGAGTCCTGCTTTAGGTTACCATGGTTTCAGGCATAGTTCTGAACTCCTGGAAAAAATGATCAGTTTGTATTTGCTGCTGTTTATTACATGCCCATTTCTTCTTTTATTTTTTTTAATCCTCATCCGAGGATATTTTTTTCATTTATCTTCAGATAGAGTAGGAGGGAGAGAAAAAGAGAGAGAGAAAAAAATTCATGTGAAAGAGACACATTGTCTGGTTGCCTCCTGCACAACCCAGACCAGGGCCAGGGATGAACCGCAACCAGATGTGCCCTTGACCAGAATCGAACCTATGGCTGATTGGTCTGCAGACCAATGCTCTAACCGCTGAGCAAACCAGCCAGGGCACGTGCCCATTTCTTTCTTTTGTTTGTTTTTAATCCTCACCCAAAGACATTTTTCCATTTTTTGTTCAGGTAGAGTGGGAGGGGGAGAGAGAGAGAGAACCATCAGTGTGAAAGGGACACATCGAGTGGTTGCCACCCACACCACCCAACCAGGGCCGGGGACAAACTGCAACCGAGGTACATGCCCTTAGCAGGAACCGAACCTGGGTCTCTGTGGACTGCAGGCAGACACTCTAACCGCTGAGCCAAACTGTCCAGGGCCATGCCCATTTCTTAAGAGGAGAAGCAGTATGAATTAAAGGACCAGATCCTAGGACACTAATTGTTTCTTTCTTTTACAGCTCGGCCTTCTCCCTGGGTTCCCATCCCTGCTGAAGAATGGAACACCATAAATAAGGAAGTAACAACCATAAAACTTCCTGTTGAGTCTCAGGTAAATTGTATTGTTCTCTCTGGCCTTCCTTTCTAGGGTATTCAGTCGTAATGATTTACTGGGCCTTCACTGTCCTCAAATTTTTATACTCCCACCAAGAGACCTATTCCCTCTTATTCCTTTTTCAGAAAACATTCGACCTTTTTCTGAGAGATGGGGCACCTTGAAAGATCATCTGCCTTATGATTCTTTATAGTGTCTTTTGCTTCATTTGGCACATAATATACCCTTGGTTCCTTGATTTTAATTCTTCTTTAAGGCCCTTCTGTGCTTTATTCAGTATTCATCCTTCAGAGACCCATGTGGTTATCTTGGTAGTCACTGCTGTTAGTGTTGTTACAGGGACCAGTGAAAGATGTCCATATGGCAAGAGGATTTTCCTACAAAAAGAGTGTGCAACAGATTCCTGCTCACAGAGACCTCTACCGAGGTGTTAAGGAAGAGAGAGCTGGGAACATGGTTTCCCTGGGTAAGGATTCTTTCCCTTTTCAGATAAAAGATTTGGGGATTTCTAACATATTCATTCTACTGATGATAAAATAATTATAAATGTTAACACTTAAAGGACTTCCATGGGTTGTCTAATCATTTTTGCAGCTAGCTTACCAGACCTGTAATCACTTACCCATGTTCTCTTGCCTTACTCATCCCTCATCCCTTTGTTCCATTCTAAAATTTACATATCTTTATTCTTATAATTTAATGATTAAAACACTAGAGAAGTTGTTTTTTTTAATTTTTTTTTTTTATTGATTCTAGAGAGAGAGGAAGGGAGAGAGAGAGATAGAAAAATCAATGAGAAAGAACATTTATTAGCTGCCTCCTGCATGCCCCACACTGGGGATCGGTCCCACAATGAGGGCATGTGCCCTGACCGGGAATTGAACCGGCGACCTCTTGGTGCATGGGTTGATGCTCAACCACTGAGCCACACTGGCCAGGCTGGAGAAGTGTTATATGTCTTTATATTATTTAAATGTAAACTTATATCCACTAAACTAAAAACTCCATAAAGTCACAAGATCTCTTTGGGATTTGTTTTTGTTTAACTCTAGTAAACTCAGCTTTGTTTCTCAGGGCCTGACACATTGGTAGGTGCCCAACATATAATTTGTTGGGTGGATGGAAACTTATAAATAGAAAAAATAATAATTTTAATACAATAACCTCAATAGCGTGTTGTGAATTATTTATATAGCACAATTTCAGGCACACATCACCACTGAAGCATCACTTTATAAGCAAAACCTACATTAGCAGTAGGGCTAAATATGATTCATTTATATGCAAGCTACAAGTCAAAGACTACTTATAAATAAAATTGTAGGCCTAAAACATGCACTAATATACACTATAGATATTTTTTGCTGTCTATTAGCCACATGCAGCTATTTAAATGTATAAAATTAGATAAAATTAAAAATTCAGTTCCTCAGTAGCAGTGGCCACATTTAAGGAATTCAGTAGCTGTATTTGACAGCACAGTTATAGAACATTTCCATCATCACAGAAAGTTCTATTGGACAGTGTTACAAATAGACACTTAAGTAGAGAGATTATAAAATGGAGCATGTCAAACAATGAATAAGATAAACCAACAGTCGTTTATATAGAAAGCAGTTTTTAAGAAATGACCAACTTCAGACCAACTGACAATACACCATAACAAAGCACTCTTCCCAAAGAAGCAGGCATCCCAGCCATCTGCCAGCTTGTGTACACAATGGATGTTTCCTAGTGTTGTCTTAGATCACACAGCATCCAGACTAGTAAGTGCTGAATTGAGACCTTTGTAAATTCTAAGTGGTAAGTGGTATAGGGACCATCCTTTAATACAGATTTAGCCCATGCCTCCACATATAATTATAGAGTATGAAGACCTAGGCCCAGAGACCCCACCCCAATTTTTATATCATAGATTGTAAACTAATGGCTTATTATCTAGCCTGTATGGGTATTTTGGCCTTGCATAAAGTTTCCATTTAAACTTAGTTTATAAATCTAGATTCCCAGTATCTCTTGAAAAATCAATTGCAAGGCACATGTGCCCCATGGGCCCACAGAATAAGGGTGCTCATGCTGAACTACCACTGTTCTCACTCCTGCCACTTCATGTGGTTACGTTGCCAACTTAGTCCTTATAGATACTGAGTTTTCGTTGTACCTATGCTTACTTATCTCATGTAAAAATAAAGAGCAAACCTCCATCCCCAGGGTTTTTTCAGAAGGGGTTTGATTTAATGTTTTTTCTCTAAGAGAATTCTGTGAAGCCTCTTTGTGTGTTACCTAGAAAAGAAAACTAAATTGTATTACAAACTTACTGGGCATTGGACACTTCACATATGATCATTTATTTAATATTCCCAGGACCTCTTTGAATATATGATATTATTCCCTGAGAAACTGAGGCTCAGATTAAGAAGCTTCCCTGGTCAGAAAGTAAAGTAAGTGGTGGAGCTAGGATGCACATTTAAGACAGGTGGCTCTCTAAAGTGTTGTAAGGTGACATACTCTCAGTCTGCTTCCCTATTCTTACATCACTTTCCTATTTATCTTGCCAGATGTGTCCAGAAATTCTTGACTTCTCATCTCTCATAGCCCAGTGTGTATGTGTGTGTGTGGTTGGGGTGGGGTGGGGAGATGTGGGGAGCAGATATAAGCACATTTTATTTTATAAGTAACAAATACTGGTCAGGAGCATACTGTGAACCTAGTGCAGGGTTAGATACTATGAGGGAATCAAAGATAATAAAATACGTTTTTTACTCTTAAAGTTTTTCCTTTAGAACCAGCAGGGAAATAAGTGGTATGTACATGGGAAGTAAAGTGATAGTGTAAGTTAGTAGATGATTGTGCCAGAGAACTTGTGTAACAATAACTATAGTGTGCACTGTCATGGTTGAGGAGGACCCTAGAAGAGAGGTGACTGGACAAGACCTTTGAAGGACAGGCATGAACAGTGGTCCAGGAGAGCATGCTCCAGCAGAAGGTTGGGAATGCAGTAATGAATGACCACTATGTCTAGTATGAAATATGTTTCTCTTACTATAGGAAAAGCAGTATCTACTAACAAGATAGCCCAGGTGGAGCAAAGAAAGGAGCCATGGACCATAGGTCTACATTCCTCTAGTAAAAGGAATATTCTACAAAGCAACTACATCAAGGAAAAGTCCGTTCATGCTGTTCAGGTTCCTGCAAGGAATGCAGGAAAGATGCGGAGAGAGCAGCAGCAGTGGGGCTTAGAAGATGAAAAAATAGCAGGCGTGCATTGGAGCTATGAGGAAACGAAGACTTTTCTTGCAATTCTCAAAGAGTCCCGCTTTTACGAGACACTTCAGGCTTGTCCCCGAAATAGCCAAGTGTATGGTGCTGTAGCTGAATGGCTGCGAGAGTGTGGCTTTCTCCGAACCCCGGAACAGTGTCGGACCAAATTCAAAAGTCTCCAGAAGAGCTACCGGAAAGTGAGAAATGGCCACGTGCTCGAGCCCTGTGCCTTCTTTGAGGACATGGATGCGTTGTTGAACCCTGCAGCTCACGTATCACCCACTGACAAGCCAAAGGAGATTGTATCTCTCCCTACGCTGAAGAGAATTGGTATCAGTACTAAAGAACAGATCAGTTTAATGGAGGAAGAGGAAGCTGCAGAAGAATCTGATGGTGAGGACGCAGGCATCGAATTTATCCGCAAGTCTGAGATTTGTAGTACCCCTGTCTTATTTCAGAACCTGAGCGGTAAGAATTGTGTTTTTTATTTGGTTTGAAAATGGATGATGTGGTCTTGTGGAAAAAGGAGTCGTCCACAAGTGACTAGTCCTGGGGAGTGCTGTCATGCAAACCTTGCCTCCAATCACTGACTGGCCGCATAACTAATAGTTTTCTCAGGCATCTGTTGCTGCTCCCAGCACAGTCTGAGTACAGCACTGAGTAACCACAGAGGGTTCCTTTTGAGGTTAGAGCACAGCATAGATTTTGAGTATGTGGGGCCAGAGTGTTGTAAGGATCTAACATTATCCGAGAATTGGTATAAAGTAGTCAAGTGTGTTAGATTGTAGTCAGGCAAAGATACATTATTACAGCATCTAGAATAACCAGCGAAAGAGTGTGTAACTAAAACATTAGTAAAAAAAAAAAAATGAAATTCTAAAAGAAGATAAGAAAGGAGAGAGAAATATATTTTTAATTACAAACTTAGAGACTATCATACATTTAAAAGCAACTGTATGTTGCTTACAAGAGATACATCTTATATATAATAACAGAGACATTGAAATTAAAAGGGCAGAAGAAGATATATCATATACCATACAAAAGAAAGCTGGGACATGCTTTAAATTTGGGGGCTGGGACATACAGGACTAAACTGCCAGTTAATAACTATGTGACAGTAGACACATTGTGTAAGTTCTGTGAACTTCAGTTTTCTTATCGGTAAAGTATGCCAGGGTTGTTGTTTGTTACATGACATGACATACATGAAGGCATTCTGCAGATGTTAACACACAATAAAACATTGCCTAGTATCACTGTTACTACTAATGTTTCTCTGCTCCACCTTATAAAAAGATAAGTTCTTAGAACAGAAAAATAAATTAGGCAGGAGACTGCATCTGTTAAAAAGAAATAGCTCTCAAGAAAAAGATGGAAAGATGAGTTATGCATGCACAGGTATTCACCAATCTGGAAATCCATAGACATGAGGGTGGGGTTCTTAGAATGGTCTCAAGTATGGGAATCCAGTGAGGTACTAGAAGAGACTACCCAGTAAGATGAGGATAGGAATGACTTTTTCCTACTTACAGGGCCCAAAAAGCATAGTGTAACAACCTATATTGTGACATGTCATAGAAATTTTATTCTGCTATAAAAGCAGGATATCTGCTTGTGTTACTGAACATTTCATCTCTCAAAGTAATGGACTCAGTGACATCAAAAATTACTGAGTCCAGATGATGTAGCTCAGTGGTTGAGTGTTGACCCAGGCGCCAAGAGGTCGCTGGTTTGATTCCCAGGCAGGACATGTTCAGGTTGTGGGCCCTATCCCCAGTGGGGAGCATGCAGGAGGCGGCCAGTCAGTCTTCTCTCTCATCGATGTTTCTATTGCCCTGTCCCTCTCCCTTCCTCTCTCTAAAATCAATAAAGAAAAAAAAATTTTTTTTAATTACTGAACAAAACTCTTCAAGGAAGACTGTTTTAAAAAGTGATAGGAACTTTGGGGAAAGTTTCTGCTGGGTGTCCCTGTCCATTCTTAACTTGAAAGGACAGCTAAATTCTTAATCACCAGAGCAGCATCAGACTGGGAGACTGTATTTTAACTCTACCAAATAAACTGAGATTAGTTTATCAATTTCTGTTTTTAAAAAATCCTATTGGAATTTTTACTTTATAGATTCATCTGAGAATCAATATCTGTACAACTTGAGTCTTCCTAAACAGAAACATAATATCTTTTCATTTTTTCCTAGTTCTTTTATGTCTTAAAATATTACAGATTTTTTTTTATCCTCACCTGAGGACATTTTTGTATTTATCTTCAGATAGAGAAGAGGGAAAGAGGGAGGAAGAGAGAAACATCGATGTGAGAGAGACACATTGACTGGTTGCCACCCACACAACCCCAACCAGGTCTGGGGACAAACTGCAACCGAGGTACGTGCCATTAGCGGTAACCAAACCCGGGACTCTCTGGTCCAGAGACTAATGCTCTAACCGCTGAGCCAAACCAGCCAGGGCCAGATTTTTTTATATAGACCGCGTTTTGATAAAGCTTATAGCAGGCATATCATAGTTCCTGTGGCTACTGTGAATGGGATTTGTTTTCTTTTACTTTTTAAATTTTGTAATGTTGTATAGAGGCTACAGACTCCTTTTCTTATATCTTTGAACTTTGTCTTTGAATGGCAGGTGTACACTGGGGCTACGAGGAGACCAGGACTTTTCTTGATATCCTCCGTGAGACTCGGTTTTATGAAGCACTTCAGTCCTGCCATAGGAAAAGCAAATTGTATGGGGCTGTGGCTGAACAACTGCGAGAGTGTGGGTTCCTACGGACACCAGAACAGTGCAGGACCAAGTTCAAAAGCCTTCAGAAGAGCTACCGCAAAGTGAAAAATGGTCACGTGCTAGAGTCCTGTGCTTTCTACAAGGAAATGGATGCCCTGATAAATTCTCGAGTATCTGTCCCCTCCACCAACACCTCAGAAGTCCCACCACACTCAAGGCAAGAAAGAGAGGATATTGAGATTGAACCCCAGGAACCTACAGGCTGGGAACCTGAGGAGACCTCACAAGAGGCTATAGTAGAAGATTCTGGCAGCGAGAGAATGAGTGAGGAGGAAATTGTACAAGAGTCAGAATTCCAGAGACCTCCAAGTCTACTACAAAGCCCAAGTGGTAAGGATCATTAAGGGGCTGTGGCCTAAAAGAGAATAAGTGTAACTTACTGAAAAATTAGTAGATTTGGCATGTTATTCAGGAGTATTTATTCATTAAACAAATATTTGAGGGTCCTGTGCTGTTTGAGGGACAGGGGATATAACAATGAATGAAACAAAGTCTGTGTGCTTGTGATGCTTCTATTCAAGGAAGGAGTTTGCATTCTAGTGGTTTGGTCTTTGGGATCTCAGCCTAGTTTTTTCTGGATGGGTCAAGCAATATTTTATATCTCCTGAGGGAGAAAATTTGGAATTATACATGAGAAAAAACTCAGACGAAGAGGTGTGTCAGTAAGCCCAAAACAGAAATGTCTCCGTGATGTGTGGTGTGTATGAGAAAAAGGATAGGCAAAGACCAAATGAGAGACGGGGGCTTTATCCTGGTTCTCAGCTCCACCTGCATATTTCCCATTGACTGCTGGGAACCCTTGTGGGCATCTCATCGACTTAAATTTTTCAAAACTAAAATCACCATCTTCCTTCCCACACCATGGCTCGTCCCTATGTCCTCCTACAGGTCATCCAGACTTAAAACTTTAGAGATATTTTTGATGCCTTCTCTCCCATTGTTTATAACCAGTCAGTAACACTTTTTGTTTTCAACTGTTGTAGAACTTTTATCTGTCCCCTCTTTAGTTCCCGTAGCCCATACCCTAGTTCAATCTTTGTGTCTGTTACCTAGACTGTTGTAAAAGTCTCCAAACCAGTTTACTGTATCAGCCTTATATTAACATTCCACAGCCATCCTTACTTAACCTGAGCTCTTATCTTTATGTCCTTACCTGTTCATATTTTCCTTTCAAAACTAATCTCATTCAAAACAAACATTAGAGAAGAAGGAAATTCATATACATGCTCTCTGGTATTTTTATATTGGAAATTGTGATATGAAGGCTGAAATCATTAAGCCCTACATAACCCTGGTTTTGATAACCCTGGAAACAAAGTCCAATGGTTCCATCTCTTGTGAATCTTGTCTTTTAAGTTGAACTCCAGATCTATCATCAAATTATCAGGCTTTGTGTGAACCAACTACTAGGCTGTGACTTCCACCAGATCCCAAAGCAATGTTAGACCCAATCAGAATGCTTCAAAAGAACTGCTAAATGAACAGTGGCATTGTCGGGGCTTTTTACTTAAGTTAATGGAATGGTTGATAGCTGCTCCTCCCCACAGCCCATGTCACAGCTGTCCCGCTTGGGACGGAAGGATATCAGCAGTTTCAACTCGGTGTGTGGAAAGAAAGTAATGTTAAAACTGGCAAGTAGAAACGAGGTAGTATAGCAAAATGCTTATGAACAAGGGTTTAATAATTAACCAAGCCTGGATTGGGCCTAAGTTACACAGCTTATGAAATCATTTGTGGATAAAATAATACAATGTTTAGAATTTTCTTTAAAATAATCTGGGTAGAGGGAACAGGGGGTATGTAGGAATAGAGATGAAACAAGATTGGCAATGAGAGATCATGGAAGTTCATTGTCCATACAATTCTCTACCTTCCTGTATGTTTGAATTTTTCATAGTAAAAACTTAATACAAAACCACATAATTAAGTAACCAAGACAGAGTCAGAACCAGAGCTGTCTGATTCCAAAGCCTTTGTTTCTTAACCATTTTATGCTCTCTGTTCAGAGAACTTCTTGTAAAAGCTGGAATCCAAGGTGTACCTTGTAGTTAACATGCGCTATAGATGAATGAGGAGAAGATTGTTCTAGTTTGGGGAACAGTGAGAACTAAGTTTGAAATAGTGTGGTCTGTGTGAGAGACAGCCAGAAAAACAGTAACGGGAACATTCGAGGAGAAGAAAGAAGTACTCTTGAATAGGACATGATTAGATATTGATGAACTTAAAAGTCCATTGAAGAATTTGAACTTGATCACTAGAATCTACTCTAGATACTAGTCTAATGTAGTGTATTTTAGGATAAAAGTGAAATTTTGAAAGCAGTATGAATTAGAGGGGAACTTTAGGAAGATAAGCCGATTTGCTCCTATGTTAATCAGGATATGGATGAGGAACAGTTCAATTCAGAAGACATTTCCAAAGGCCTACCTTGAACTAGGTGTTATTGGTTGGTCTTGGAATTGAATGAACATAAGGCATAATGAATCAAGGAAGAGTAACAGAACCTGAGGCCAGTGAAGTGTACAGGGATCCTAACAAATGAAGCCTTGAAAGCCATGTGTATGTTAATACAGGACTGCTCTGAATTTCTTATTGTCTTTTTTTCAGATTTTGAAATTGGAGGTAGTATCAAGGAGGATGCAATGCAGATAATATATAAGGACATGGAACAGCACAGGGCGTTAATAGAAAAATCTAAAAGAGTTGTTTCCCAGAATACTGATCTAGTTAACTATCATAAAAAGGAATACATCTCAGGAAGACAGTGGGAAAACCATCAAGGAATCAGACAGGGAAAGCTGATGTCTCAGCCTAGAGATTTAGGGAAAGCTGTAGTGCATCAGAGGTCTTTTGTGGCAAAGAGACCCTACAGACTTCTCAAGTACGGAGAAAGTTTTGGAAGGAATACCCGTCTTCTGTGCCGGATGATTCACCAGAAGGAAAATTCTTATAAGTGTAGTATCTGTGGGAAGTGCTTTGGTAGAAGCAGGAGCCTCATCAGACACCAAAGAATCCACACAGGAGAAAAACCCTTTAAATGTCTTGACTGTGGGAAAAGCTTTAATGACTCCTCAAACTTTGGTGCCCACCAGAGAATCCATACAGGGGAGAAGCCCTACAGCTGTGGAGAATGTGGGAAGTGCTTTAGTCAGAGCTCAAGTCTCATCATACATCAGAGAACCCACACAGGTGAGAAACCCTATCAGTGTGGAGAGTGTGGGAAAAGCTTCACCAACAGTTCTCATTTCAGTGCCCACCGCAGGGTTCACACTGGTGAGAATCCCTACAAATGCATGGATTGTGAAAAGAGTTTCAGTAATTGTACACGATTTCGAGAACATCGGAGAATGCACACTGGAGAGAAGCCCTATGGGTGTGCCCACTGTGGCAAACATTTCAGTAAGAGTTCTGTTCTGACCAAACATCGGGAGGTCCATGTGAGAGAAAAGCTCCTGCCACATTCTCCATCTATGTATTCCCCAGAGAACCTACATAAGGGAAGAACTGACGACTTCAGGAAGACTTTTTGATGACGATTTCTTCTCTTTCTGTGTCCCTTTAGCCATCCTACCCTCATCTCACTCTTGGTATCTTTTTTTAGCTATAAAGTGTAATTCCCAAGATAAGCTTAAGAATATAAATAAACTAAAGACTTGGATCTTGTTCTCACCTCTGCCTCTAACTTGACCAGTCCATCCCTCTCCTTCTATGTGTCTCAGCTTCTCCTTTAATAAAGGGGAGAACATAAATTGAGTTCAGAATGGAGTTCTCTTCAATATGTCAAGGCTACTACTATAGGATTGCTACGTCCAGCAACATTCAAGATCCTTCCGTGTAGGTGAGAGTTGTTTTCAAGGAGATGAAAAATGCTGAAAGGTGTGTTTTGTTATCTACCACGTGAGATCCTGGATGCAGCTTGAACACAGAGTTTCGTGTTTGGGTAGAACTTGCAGGAGTCCTACATCAAGTCCATTTTGGTTTTGAAGACAGACATAAAGGAGACTGAAGGTTTTATAACTTCCATCAGAAGTCTGTTGCAGTGTACTTTTTTGTGTCAAGAAGTTGATCCAAATAGCTAGGGTAGAATTCCTGTTGTGTCCCTGAAGTCACATTAGCAATGCCTTGCCCTCCATAGAGACCAGAAGCAGCTGATCATCCAAATCCTCTATGTCCCAGCCTTTTCTGTCCCTGAACACTGAATCCCCTGGGTTGCTGCTTCTAGCATATAAGAATCCATACATCCTACACTTACCTCTTCATGTGCTGGGTGCTCTTGTCTGGCTCTTCTGAGCTATCACACCCCCCTCAGATTGACTAGGCTGCATGATCATGGTGTGTCATTAAAATAAAGTAGGATTTCAGACACATTCTAGTTCTCCCCTGTAACTTCTCCAGATCTTATCTAGAACATGACGTGTATTGGCGTATTTATGCCTCCCAACCCCACACTTTAGTATAATATTATATAATCATAGTTCTCTAAAACTTTAAGGGGGTAAAAAGAAGTAGAGTCCTGAAACATTATTTCTAAGACCAGTCGAACTCCTTAGGCCTGCTTTAGATCAGATTGCCACCTCCATCCAGACCAGCCCTCCAGGGCTGTTTGTCGGATATTCTCTTTCCGAGGCTTCTAGACTCTATAGGATCACGACCCTCACTGTAGAGCCCTGAGTAATTTGTACAATTCTTAGCTCAGTGAGTGAGAGCAGAGTATTTGCAGAAACTTCCAATCCAGAACATGTTAGTGTTCTCTTCATTTACCTGTGTTCCTGAAAATTCTTGATAACCCCTAACACTAGCCCCACAGTGAAGGAAGGGTTCAGATAGATGGAGACAGTTCATTTCTGGAAGTCAGATGAAAACCAGGAATGTGGTCATCCAAGGCTGGTTGCTTGGTTGCTTTGGGAGGGAAAAGTCATGGTTTGGTGGAAAGATAACCAGAGTCAGGGCTGGGGGTAGACTCTTCTTTTGATCTTATCTCTCCTTTCCTTTGTCATATGCTCTCTTATTTAAACACATCTGGAGCTAATATTTTTCCTTTGACGATTGACTGTTGAAACTTGCTCAACAGAGTACCAAGAAGGGTAGGCAGTTACGGTGCCAGCATAGGGTATGGCCTGCTGGAAGGCAGGTGACTCAGGTAAATGTTGATAGATGTTCTGATTTACACTTGGAAATGCTATGCTTGTTCATATCTGAATAGATTAATTTTTTGTGTGTTGTCTGGTTTTCTTTGTTTTCTTCTTAATTTTTATTTTGTAATTACAGTTGACATGCATTACTGTATTGGTTTCAGGAGTATGTGTTGTCTGAATCAGACTTTTAATGGTAAGTGCAGCTTCATGTTGGTAGTGTTCCTAGCGCAGTAAGATGTGTTAGTGCCAGTGAGCGTGTGCTTATATTGTGTAGATGTTCTGGAATTCCAGCTCTAGAGAAGGTGTACATTAATAGAAGTCACCATTAGTAATACATACACAGGATTGATGATTATATTGACTAATGCATGATTCAGGAAAGGTGATTTATTCATAAATATTAAGCACCATGATGTGTTAAGGCCATATTCTAGGCACAATGAAGGATACGAAAGTGAAAAAGGAGGCATGGTGCCTGTACTCAAGGAACTTGAAATGTGATAGAGGAAGTATTGCAGCAAAAGGTAATGCCACTTACATGCAGGTTACAAAGGTCAGTGACTGACTCATGAGAAAACCTCCTTCACTTCAAAAAGAGTTTTCCTAACTTGCCTAAAATCATATTCTTTACCCATGTCTCTCAGACTTCCCTAGTTGCCGAAAGGTTCAGACCCAGCCCGTCTCCTGTGGGACAAACTGATTCTCTTTTAGCCTCAGATGTCTGGGATCAAGCTCAGGTGAAGTTCGGGTTCCCCTACCAATACTCCTGATTGCAAGTGGGCTGCTGAGACGTATCAAACTAACTTAATGAAGTTTGTCTCTGTTTGAGGAGACAGTAGGTCCTGCCCACCATTCAACAAGACTCCTTGCATTTCATCCTTTTTCAGTTGGACTGTGAAAGTCAAAGTGAATATGTCTTTTATGTAACATAGCACTGCCTTTATGACAATCCATAGGAGAAGGCTTGTTTTAGAGCTCATTACCAGGGAATCAGCTCTGATCCTAAGCAAAAAAAAAAAGTTATCTTTAAAAACACTGTGATTTTTATAACTTACTGCTCTTCTTGTTTTGTTCTGGCTGCCGGGAAGCTCAACAAAATTTACAACCCACCTAAACCAACTACCTAAAACCTGTATTTATTTAATCCTGTCTTATTTCTTTGAAAATTATCTCAAATCCTATGTTTTTTAAGTGGTATAAACAGACGTTCTATTTTCTGACACCTTACCCAAGGCACTTTGGAAACTGGCTTCTATTCCCTGGCTAGGCTTGCTTTATTACTCTCACAAATACCTCTAGTTCTTACTGTTGACTTGATTACACATAGAACTAATTTATTCATCTGGAAGGAAACCTTACTTCTTCAAAGAGGGAAACGTCACATATATTTACGCAGCTCAGGCCACCTGCCATGGTGGAGTGAGTATTGGACCAGAAGCCAGAAGAGACAAGTTTTAGTCTTGCTGCTGCTGCTTAGAGTCTGAGTCATCAACATCGCAGCTTCTCTCTGGGCCTTAGCTCCTTATCTGAAGAGAAGTTGAACTTGATCGCTAAGATTGCTCCAGCTGTCATGTTTGGTGAGGCTGTGGAACCCCGTGTAGATGAGAAAGAATCTGTGAGACCAGGCTACCTGTCCTGGCTCACCGCTGCACGCAGTCCAGGCCACCCTGAGCCCACTTCCCACTTCAGACAGGGATGCTCGGTGCAGTCCAGGAGCTTGCTCAGTAAAGAAGGAAAGGTCACTCCTGTTCTCTACAGGCACCCTCAAGTCACCTTGATGGCCAGTTGCAGGTAGGTAACTGAGTGAAGAAAGCCTATCTTACGAGGCCGTGCCCAGTGACAGACAAGACTCAGCCGCGAGGAGGCTGGGGAAGCCACAGTGCCAGCAGTGCCAGAGACTGGTAGCCACAAGCCTTTGCCTCAGTCTGAATTTATTCCAAGTATAAGTGTCTTTCTGTTCTTTTTGTGTCGATGTTCACTTAGATGTCTTCTTGAAAACTTGTATGTGAAATAAATGTCTGCACTAAATGACTCCAGGTTTTTTTGCCATAACTTGAAAGATGCCTTCTATTAAGGGAAAAGAGCTTATCTAAGAGGTGATCAAAGCTGAGCCTAGTAGCTAAAGAGGGTTGCAGTCTTGTTCCAGTACACTGCTCTCCCCCACAACTAGTGGGATATTTTGTGAGTCCATAGCTAGTGGCCATTGCCATTGTTCCAAATAATGGTTGGCTCTAATTCTAGGGTAGGATTAGCCTTGGGTTCACACCCTGCATGTGTCTGGGGGAGGCACTCACCCACAGTAGCTTTTTATGGTGGAACAAAACTGCACAATTTCCCCAAAGATAACACTGTTGCTTTTTATTTACTGTTTTGATATAGAGAGTTCCAGTGGCTTCCACTCAGTCTTCTTTCCCAGAACAATTCCAACTCCATGGGTCATAGAGTCAGTGTAGAGATTTTGCTACTTGTTGAGCATGTTTTTCCTACTATTCTCATGAACTGTAGGAAGAACCACGGGTGGGTCACCTAAACATGAGCTGGACTCCAGACAAAGTGCCTTTCGCCTGGACTTTATAAGCTTCTGTGCAGCCTACTGCAGTGGTGCTTTAGGTCCTCAAGAATTATAGCTGCTCAGACAGTATCCAAGAGCCCTTGTAAGTTTCCTATATTTTTTTTTTTTTTAGTTGACAGTCACGACCTTTTTGGAAGAAGCCAAGATAGAGCTTCAACATGTATGGTGTCCTGTCTGAGTTCTCCCATAAGGTTACTGACCTCCCGTTCCATTACAGAGATATAGGTCTGTGAACTGACTCAGGCTGGGAATTAGATGACTTTAAATCTCAAAGGGTCACAGATCTTCAATTCCTATAAGTCAGTTAAAACAATTAGAGTTGAAGGGAGGAGAGTGAATGTTTTGTGTCTCAAGCAGAAGGAACATTGTTGCCCTGGCTGGTTTGGCTCAGTGGTCAGAGCATCGGCCCGCGGACCAGAGAGTCCCGGGTTCAGTTCCCACTAAGGGCATGTACCTTGGTTGCAGTTTGTCCCCGGCCCTGGTTGGTTGTGCGGGTGGCAACCAGTCAGTGTGTCTCACATCGATGTTTCTCTCGCGCGCTTCCCCACTCTCTCCCTCCCACTCTATCTAAAGATAAATGCAAAAGTGTCCTTGGTGAGGATTTAAAAAAAAGGAAGATGGTTAGTCACAATCCTCACACTTCATGACAGGTCCAGGGACTCGAAGGGAAAACATGGCTTTGGGTTCCAAGAGAGGCAAATGCCTAACTCACTCTGAGGTGGTAGGACTCCAGGAGAGTGGCAGTGGGGGTAGAGGGGATGGGGGCAAGGCCTGAAAGGCCTGATGCTTGGATGTAACAGAGCCTGTGGAGCACGCGGGTGTGCTTGGTGTGGGAGCTGTGGAACGTCAGTAAAGGATCACTCTCTCAAGAAATGCCCTAGCCTGGTCAAGTGTGACAGTGATAGCACACACATCTGAGGTCCATTCCCAATGGCGACACTATGTGGTGGCAGAGGCAAACAGCAGCAGACCAGGCACAAAGTAAAAAGGTTCCTGAGAGGAAAAGATGGGCATACTTCCCTTTTTGGATTGCTTAAGCTCTGAGTTCTTGGAAGATCTGGTGAGGGAGAGGTGCAAGAGTCTTATACTAGGCTTCCCAACAGCATGGCATGTGTGGGCTCAAGCCAATTCTGGCCAAAGGGAAGGAATCGGTACTTAAACCCCAAGGGTCTACAACAGGACATACCTGGTGCAGTAAGAAGAACACTAGACTGTCTAAAAGCCTTGTCGAGGTCTGTCACTAGATTGCTGTGTGGCTACTGTCAAATTATTCAGCCTGTCTTAGTGGAGGGTTGGACAGCATGAATGTTTCTTAGCCTTTCTCCATGGAGAGGCCCAAAGAGCCTGATGAGGGGAGTTGACTGAAAAAAAAATGCATTTGTACCAAGTCCCTCTTGATTCTGATATCCGCAAGTTGCAAAGCCTTTAATGAGATGATGATAACAAATATAAGAACTGACATGGTGTCCACTCCCAATGTACTAGGCATTGTGGTCACAAGCATTCGGAGGCAAAAGTTCCATTTTCCAGATGAGAAAACTGAGGCTGAGAGAAGTGAAATAGCTTCTTCAAACTCATAACACAAAAAATGGAATGTTCTTAGCTTTAAATTTGTATCTTTCTCAGAACCCAAACTCGTAGCAACTACATTTTACTGCTACCGTAGAGTGTCCAGTTCTAACATTGTAAAATTCTGTGGCCTTGTTCTTATTTATTTATTTATTTTAATCCTCACCCGAGGACATTTTTCCATTTTTTGTTCAGATAGAGTGGGAGGGAGAGAGAGAGACACATCGATGTGAAAGGGACACATCGAGTGGCTGCGACCCGCGCCACCAACCAGGGCCAGGGACAAACTGCAACCGAGGTATGTGCCCTTAGTGGGAACCAAACCTGGGTCTCTCTGGACTGCAGGCCAATGCTTTAACCGCTGAGCCAAACCGGCCAGGGCTGTGGCCTTGTTCTTAAAAAGACAGGAGGTGGAGTGGAGGTGGACTTAGGAGACATGGGTCAGTTTGGGGTTTTACTCTGTAGGATCAGAATGAATTTGGGAGTCACTGGGACCAGCCTGTGGGTTCTCTCGGTCAGTGAGTACTTAGTCCCTTCTGCACAGCAAACACTAAGCCAGACATGGAGTCACACAGATGAACTGGCCTTGATCTTCCTCTTGAGAGCTCATGGTCTAGAACTTGACATGAAGACCAGGACTTCAGATCCTGTTGCAAGTTAGGGGTGAGAGGAGTTATGATGCTTGTCTTTCTGTCCCTCTCTTAATGGGGACAGAGAGCAAGTAGAAGACAAGGCAGGAGCCATATCGTCCCTTATTCAGAAACAGTCTAGTGTAGCAGCAAAGATCCTGGACCCTGCAGTCAGACAAACCTGATCTTACATTTTGGCTCCATCAACTTGTGCAACTGTGGATAATGTCATCTTTGGAACCACCATTTCTATTCTGAAAAATGAGAAAATGCCTGCCTGTATTCATTTCCTGGGGCCGCCTTAACAAATGACCACAAACTGAATGAAAAACAAAAGAAATGTATTCTGTCACAGTTCTGGAGGCCAGAAGCATGAAATGAAGGTGTCAGCAGGGCCACGCTCCCTCCAAAGGCTATAGGGGAGGGTCCTTCCTTGCCTCTGTAGCTCTTGGTGACTCCTAGTCATATCATGTGGCCTCCACCCTTCTTCCACGTGCCTCCTTCTCTGTGTCTGTGTATCCTTTTCTGTCTCTTATAAGGACACTCATTGGATTTAGGGTCCACCCTAATTCAGTATGATCTCACCTTAATTGACCCTTCCTTAATATGTCCACAAAGACCTTATTTTACATTTATTTCACAATCTTAGGTTCCAAGTGGAAATGAACTTTGGGGGACACTATTCAACCCAGTATCTTACCTTATAGGACCGTGTGGGAGTAAATGAGATAATGCATGGAAAGCATTCTCCACGGTGCTGGACACAAACACAATAAATGTTAGCTGTACACATATGCATGTGTTTACATATGTGTTTATATATGTATATGTATATGTATATGTATATGTATATGTATATGTATATGTATATGTATATGTATATGTATGCATACGTAACTATTTTGTTAGTAGATTTACCAAAGGTTTCTGGGTTTTTTTAAGTTGTTTTTTTTTCCTTTATTGATTTGAGATAGAGAGGTAGTGAAAGGGAGAGAGAGATAGAAACATCGATGAGAGAGATCATCGATTGGCCACCTCCTGCATGCCCCCCACTGGGAATGGGGCCACAACCTGGGCATGTGTCCTGACCGGTAATCGAACCGATGACCTCTTAGTACATGGGTCAATGCTCAACCAGTGAGCCACACTGGCCAGATGATTTTCCAAAGGTTTATTTTATTATTTATTTTATCCAAAAAATTTGTAACTTTTAATATTTTTTATTTTTTATGCGTGTTCTAATTTGCTTGTTTCTTATTTTATCATATTATTTTCTCCCTTTCTCTTTTCTTTAGGTTTGTGGTGTTTGTATTTGTCTTATCTTTTTTCTCCAAAAATATTCTGGATGTTTTGGGGCTATAGTGTCCATTTTCTTAATAGGAAGTTCTTATTATATTGGTGATTTTACTCCACTGAACATTTTATTTTTACTCAGGTAAGAATTTGATCTTCTTATAGAACTGGGTGAGTTTTTCATTTGTTGCTGAGGATTATTTTCTTTATGGTATTACAATGGTCATCTTTCATAAATGACCCATAGATTCTTATAGAGAAGATACACCTTCTTACTTATAAGGGGTGAAGTTCAGAATGTGTCTTTTTATCCTTTTTTATCATTATACTCACATCTTCCATCAAAAGTCCACTGTCCCCCCAGACTTACATTGTGCCACATTATTTGCTCAGAAAATCCTTACGGATGTGGCCCACCCACACCCACTCGTTCCCAGCGGGAGTGCAGTGAGTGGGCCAACCCCGGCCTGGACGGCCTCGTGCTCTCAGCAGGGCCTGAGGTCTGTGGCCTGGGACGGATTCTCACTGGCCTGGACTCTCAGCAGGGCCTGAGGTCTGTGGCCTGGGACGGATTCTCACTGGCCTGGTGCTCTCAGCAGGGCCTGAGGTCTGTGGCCTGGGACGGATTCTCACTGGCATCCAACCTGGATTCTAGATTGGACTCTGAGCTCCAGGTAGAGCTCCATGGGTCTGGCTAAGTGCGAGACAGACTCTGGGTTGGCCTGCACCCTAAGTACCTATGTTAACACTGGATTTTAAGCTGAATTCAAGCCTTAACTAGATAGACTCCAGACAGACAAGGCCCACGCTGGACTTTGGCTTCCTTCCCAGCAGCGCCCATTTCTGAGATGAAAGGCAAGCCAGTGGGCACATGGAAGGAAATAGATTATTTATTGCAAAGCTAGATCGGCAGCTCAGGAAGCAAGGAAAGAGACCTCAGAAGGCCTTCTCTAACAGAGGCATCAGGGAAGGGGAGAGGGAGGAAGAAAGGTCGTGGGGAAGTGAACTGATACACATAGACAGCCACTTCTTCCAAGGGCTCTTCTACTCCTAGGACCATCGCTCTGAAAGAAAACATCTCCTTGTTGACATGCTGCTTCCTTTTCCCTGTGGGCAGTGCTGGCCACATGTTCCCCAGGCTGAGGCTCTGCTGAGCACAGAGGAATTCTCAGCACCCTCAGGACCCAGCAGTAGTCTGTCCCATCGAGAAGTCAGGCCCCAGGCAGAGGAGGACGTCATCACTCCTCTGGGCCTGCGCACTAGCAGGAAATCAGCGGCCCTGTCCGCAGTCCAGGACGAGTCCACCGAGGGCACAGGGGCAGCAGGAAGTCCACCATAGCGGCTTCAGCGTCCCTTTAGGACGAGGCGAGTTTTTGCATCTCCAATGAAGAACCTACAAGAACAATGGTACAGTGAGTGAGGTCTCTGAGCCCCTGGAGGAGAGTGACCAAGCCCTTACCAACACCTCCAGGCCCAGAGTTCTCCAGAGAGATGGCTTCCTGAGCCTTTCCAGCCTTAATTGCTAGCTGCCCTTGGGGGGAGGGAGAAAGCTTCGGTTTGGTTTCCAGGCCTTTTCCTGAAGACGCTCATCTCTGCCCTTCTGAAAGCAGCAGACAAAATAATCAGGGAGCCCTGGCCAGTTTGGCTCAGTGGTTAGAGCATCGGCCTGCAGTCCAGAGAGACCCGGATTCGGTTCCCGCTAAGGGCACGTACCAAGGTTGCAGTTTTTCCCCGGCCCTGGTTGGTCGCGCGGGTGGCGGCCACTCGATGTGTCCCTTTCACATCGATGTTTCTCTCTCTCTCTCTCTCTCTCCCCCTCCCTCCCTCCCACTCTATCTGAACAAAAAATGGAAAAATGTCCTCGGGTGAGGAAAAAAATAATAATAATCAGGGATGCTTTTCACTAAGCCATGGGCTAAGCCAGGACTGCTGAGCAGTGGTGCTGCAGGGTCTAGGTCAGCCCAGCCCAGGGCTCGTCCTCTCCCAGACAGTGGGATGTAGGCCCAACTTGTACCAATCCAGACCCTCATCCTTACATGACCTGGGGTAGGAAGAACAGGACCCTATGGATCCTGGAGGCTCCCAAGAAGGGAGCTATTACCCCTCTGATAATATCCCCCTTAGGATCCATTGCACAACTCCACAGAGCACTGTCCACACTGTATTTTATGGAAATGACATCCCTGACATGCATGTTCATAGGGGCACCATTTATATGGTTTGCTATGTGAGAAGGGCCCCCTGGAGTTGGATGACCCCCTGCAGGGAACAACTCCTCTCCCACTCTCAGACCTCACCCCAAGTTCAGGATTAGGCTCATGCTCCAAACATAGCCAGTAGGAGCGCCTGACCTTGGGGCTACAGTGACTGAGGCAGAAGGAGGTATGAGCCGAGCTGGGCCAGTCCAAACCAGTGAACATCAAACCCAAGACCTCAGCTACCGATGTTGTATTTCCTCTGCATCTGCTGAGCATCTCTGCCTCCACTGGGCAGCCTATCTGAGCATGAAGCCGGCGCAGAGGACAGTCTATGAGAAGTCTGGGTCCTAAGGCCTTGTTTGGGCACCTACCTGAAGCCAGTGAACTCTTCAATTACGTGAGCCGATGAGTTCTCCCTTATGGCATAGGCTGTGTTGAGATGGATTTCTGTCCCTTGCAATCAAAGGTCCCAGATCATAGTATTAGCCTCTGAAGAAAGTTCCCTCTTCTCTTTTACAAATTCAAGGGAGATCCTAGTCCTGTAGCCCTGGACACTGTGGGAGCTATCACCAGGTGCCCACCAGACGGGCCTGTGACCCTGTGTCTCAGTCCTACCTGATGAGCGCTCCTACAAGCAGGCTGGCCAGGAGCGGGCCCAGCCAGTAGATCCAGTGGAAGTCCCAGCGGTTGGCCACCACAGCAGGTCCAAAGGCACGGGCAGGGTTCATGCAGGCTCCCGACACAGCACCCCTGCAGACACCCAGCCACACTCGTCACCAGGATCCCAGCCAGGCCCCAACTCACCTCAAGTTCCTTTCCCCAACTAGGCCTCAGTCACACACCTCCCCAAACGCCCCCCTGTCCTGGGGTTCTGGAGGGTTCCAAAGAAGACACAAATGAAGAGGCGTTAGCACTGGGAAGTTGCAGTCTCGGCTCCTCCCTGGGCACACAGTCTGCCTGCCCCACACCCTGTTCCAGAGGAATGCCCAGAAGGATGCTCAGTAATGGCAGGAAGAGAAAGAGGGTGATCCAGGCTCTCCCCAGAGTTGGCAAAGCCACGTCAAGCAGTTGTCAATCATGTGAACTTTGGAGTCCAGTGGGCCTAGATTCAAAAGCCAGCCCAGCTGCATCCAGTTGTGTGACCTTTGTCTACACTCTCTGTGTTTCAGTTGAGGTGAAAGTACCTATCTCATGGGTTGTCGGGAGTCAGTGAGAAAACACATATGTGTCTCACATATAATTCACGTACAGATGTTTAATCTAGTTGACCCAGCATCTCCTATAGGGGGACTGTGGCCCAGGTGCACCTCTCTAGCTCTGGTGTCTAAATCTTTGTCTCAGTCACTCAAACTGGGGTCCTGCAGACTTCGCCCCTCGCCTTCCCCACGTCCAGTAGCCACGGATCAATAGGCTTGTAAGGGAACCAAGAGACACTAGGGGGCAGCAAAGCATTGCCACAACTTTACTCACAAGTTCATCAGGCCCCTCCCAAACTCCCCCTGCCAAGGATCACAGGAGGTTGGGGGGCAGAGCTGGGAAACTGTGTCCAAGAGAAAAGAAAGAGCTGGACATTAGGGAGCGGCTCCCTCATCCTCTAGCAGGAGATTTGGGCTCTTGTCCCAGATCTGTCACTTAATTTGCTGCTGCCCAGTGACCTTCAGTACTTGTCACTTGTGTCCTGTCTAAGCCTCAGTTTCCTCTTACATAAAATGAGAGAAATACCACCTCACCCAACCTTTGCTTGAATCCCTTTCCAAGCCTGCCAAGGGGCTCAACATAGGTGAGACAATGGGTATGGAGCTCCTTGTAAGTCAGGCTAAAACCTGGTTGCCCACTGGCCGGACAAGCACAGCCTGCAGAATTGTTTTACTGAAACTACAAAAATAATTTCACATAAATCCAGTTTTCTGACTTCCTTAGAATGAAATCGGCAAAAGGCTTCTCCAGGCCCACACATAGCAACAATTACTCCGAGGTTAATAGTGGTGCCTCCGAAGGTACCAGTCTCCACTGCCCCGTTGTCTGCCTACTGCCAGGCCGCTCCCCCCACAGGCACTACCTTCCTGGCCCCACTGGCGCCGAGCTGTGTCCCTCAGGTCTGCAGGCCCAACCTCCAGAGCTGAGCCCTAGCCCAGGGCCCAGCACTGCAGTGGCACAGCCAAGGGGCCCTCACCCTGCCAGGATGCCCGCGGTGACAGAGAAGCCGATGGAGAACGGGGCCAGCGGGCCCTGAGTCTTCTGGTTGATGGTGCCCATGCAGACAGCCAGTGTGAGCACTGTGGTCAGGACGACCTCTGCCACCACTGCGCCCGCCACCTGCTCCGGCTCCTGAACGGTCACAAAGGCTGCCCCAGACGCATTCCAGAACCTCTCCTCCGGACTCACCGCCTGCAGAGAGAAGCCACACTCAACCCCAGCGGGTGTGGAGAGACGGCCAAGGTCCAGCGAGGGGGCCCAGAGGTGCACATCCAGGTGCACACCCCAGCTCCACCTGCTCTTACCATGCGGCAGTGCGAGCTATTGGACGTCTCTGAGCCTCATTTTGCTCACCTGTAAGACGGGGATAACCCAGTGGTGGCTCCCCTGGGCCTGAAGCTTATGTAACTTAGATGAGAAAAAGAATAGAAAAATACCTTATTTTTTATAAACTTTGCAAACACACATGACCAGGTCAACACACTGGTTTCAGAGGAACTCGGCTTCCGGAGTAACCGCAGCCCCGGGAGAAGGGAGACGGCAGCGCACACAAGGTCTGCGGGCTCTGCTGCTCAGCAGCTCATCTAAATCCGAGCAAGTTACCAACTCTCTGCACCTCCCTTTTCTCTTCCGTAAAATGGGGATAACAGCTCCATGCCCAGGTAGTGGGCGTCCTCTAAGGACTGACAGTGGCTTCTTTTGAAGTGGTTGGAATGTGAAATGAGAGCAGATCTGTCGAGTGCTGCGCAGAGGGTGTGCTCGGTGAGTGGCGACTGCTGCCCTGCGCCAGTCACTGTCGTACTTGACACGCTTGCAAGAGGCCCCGCTGGAGGGGGAGTCTGGGCACTGCTTTCCCCCAGGGATCAGGGCAGGAAGGCACAGGCACAGCAGCAGGGTCTCAACGGGGGCGTGGGGAGACCAGGGCAGGAAGACAGCAGAATGAGACTTGAGACCAAAGTCTACACTGGGCCAGAGCTCAGAGCCCTAGTCCAAACCCCAGCCAGGCCAACGGGGTGGCCCCTCCCCACTCATCCACATATGCCAAGCGAGGCCTACATCTTGAAGGGCCCTGGTTGGACTGACACTTAAGGGAGGGAGGGAAGGCAGAAGGGAGGGAGCTAAGAAAATTCCACAACAGAAAGGAAGAAGACTTCCTGTTGGGATGGGAGGATTACAAACATAAACTGAATATGAACTCCCATCCAAGGCAGGAAATTCTGTTTAAGTGGCAAGCTGGAGAACACACAGAGAGGTCAGTTCGGGAGTTTACAAGAAGAGAAAGCATGTTCGCCTTGTAGCCCCAGGCAGTGCTTAGTGAGATGTTTGTGGAATAATGAACAAGTGAATGAATGAACATGTGAGGAAACATTAAACCCAGCAAGCCCACCCCACAGCCACAGACAGACTGGAACGTCCTGAATTCGAATTCCTGAGCTGTGCTGGTTTGTCCAGGCAGAGGATGCGGAGGGTTTCAAGTGAACCAAAGGCCCTTGTGTGTCCCCCTCCCAAGAACAGAAAGGCCCACCCAGTCCCACTGGAGAAAACAGGATGAGGTGGACAGTCTCCGCTCCCCTGCCCCCAGCAGCCCCATCAGAGCAGAAACCACCAGTCTAGCCCCCTTGGGGGTCACTCACCTTGGCCAGGACAGCCCCAATCAGCCCCCCGCACAGCTGGGAGATCCAGTACGGAAGGAGCATCATCAGGTTGAGGCCTCCGACCAGCATGGCAGCCAGGGACACGGCAGGGTTAAAGTGTGCGCCACTGTCACCAAAAAAAGCGAAGAACGTTATGAGGCCAAAGCTGAGCCGTGCCGGAGCAATGTGTCCCAGCCAGCCTCCCAGGCCGGCCCTGCACTGCTAGTCAGGCAGGGGCCCAGTGCAAGTAGAAACAGGCCATTTTCCCCGAGGTGCTGAGTGGGGGGCCAGGGCATTGGGGGAGAGTTGGGAGGGGGGTTCAGAGGGAATCTGGGAGGTAGGTCCAGCCTGGGCTCTGTCGGAGCATAGAGATGAAGTGGGGTGGAGGGCCTTCCATGGGGGTGCTGCAGAGTTAGAGCCTCTCTCTGCCATCGGCCTCTCCTCCACCATCTCACCCGGCCCAAACCGGAAGACAAACTTACTCAGAGCAGGACTCAAGCAGGAGAGGCCCGGGCACCACGTATGTTCCCAGGACTGACTTTGCACTCATGGACAATGAAACAGTCAAGACACTCCAAGTTTACACATTCGTTATTTGCTCAACAAATGTTAATTGAACACCTACTGTGTGCCAGGTGCAGTGCCGGGTGTTTTACCTCACCTTGGATCCACTGAGAAACCTCAAAGGAATTACCCAGTGCACAGTGGGTGCTGAATAAACATTTGTTGAAAAGTAAATGATCGAATAAAAGATTGGCAATATAGAAAGGCAGTCTAATATAGTGCATAAAAAATCGTCTCTCCAGCCAGAGGCCATTCAAATCCCAGTTCTGCCTCTGAATAGCTGTGTGACTTTGGGCAAGTTACATACATCTCTGTGCCTCAATGATCCCTACTTCATAGGCTGTTGCAAAGATACAATGAATTAATACATGTTCATATACTGTGTTACACATGTAGTTAGTACTCAGTAAATACCAGATTTTATTATTATCTTCTTTTATACCACTGCACAGAGAGGTTTGGCTTCTTGCCCTGTCCACCCAGCAAAGATGTGACAAAGACTGCATTCAACCCCAGACCCTGTGGAACAGAAGACCATATGCTATTCACGCCCAGGCAGCCTCCCCTGGATGTTTAAAAGGAATGTTAAAGTTCTCTTTCCATTCTGTCCTGGGAAACAGTGTTTCATTTATTCTGATCCATTTCCTAAGTGAGATGAAATACAAGCAGCCACGTCTGACCTCACCTGCCAGGCGCCCTGGCATTTGTCGAGGCATTTGTCCCTACAGCTGGTCCCTGGCAGGCATGGGCCTCCCCAAGGGATCCTGTCCAAATGGGTGCTGTGCAAGAGGGCCCTCCCCCACCCTCTCTCTGGTCACCACTGTGATGGGCCATGCGGCTCAGGCTCATGGGTGCCCACGTGGAAAACCCAGCTACGACCTGCTTTCCCAGAGGAACCTCTAGGGGGAGCCAACCCCATTCTAATATTAATAACAACAGAACAGGTGGTGACTGAGCCCTTCACATGGTTCCTTCTCCTGCCTCCCCCGTGAGGCTCTCGCCTGTGGGCGCTGGACGCAGGTAGCTTGGTTTGTCTCCTGGCTCTGCCACCTACGAGCCATGGGATCTTGTTCTCTGTCCTACCACATAGGCCATTGTGAGGGTTGCCTGAGTTCATACCTGTCGTGCTTAGAACAGCGCTTGACACACCAACTCAGCGTTAGAGTATACATGATAGCTTGCAAAAACAGTCATTTTAAACATGCTCTGTGGTTCCCGTTTTCTAGGCGGAGAGGTTCGAATTGGAAGAGTGACTTGCCCAAGGTCACAGGCTCATAGGCTGCAGGCAGTCTGTCCCCAGCCCTCACTCCTGTCCACAGTGCTCCCAGAATCCTGAGAGTGCCCGGCTCCCTGCTGACCGCCCAGCTCCCAGGGTCGCACCCACGGAACGCACGGGCCAGCCTCACCTGATGTTCCCCAGCGTGGCAATGAGGAGGCCCAGGGCCAGCCCGTGGGCCAGGGCCGGCTGCAGCAGCCCAGTTTCCGGCCCGCTCTGGATCACCGACAGGCACCCGATGAAGATGAAGAGGGCAGAGCCCAGCAGCTCGACCAGGCAGGGCTGCACAAACTGCTCATACCATGACCCACGCCACCTGCCTTCCATGCTTGGCTCCTTCCCCTTGTCACTGCCAAATTCAAGGTCACTCATAGATGCAGCGGCCTGCAGAAGGGGAAAGGAGCGTGGACTTGGAAGGAAGGGCAGCCCTCCACCCCCAACCTACGTTGTTCCCAGTAATCCCGGAAGGGCCAGGTTGGGGGAAGCGGCCAGCAGTGGGCTCACCTCTCCAGACATCGGGGCCGAGGCCACACGGACGGGCTGGGAACCCGCACCTGCTCTCCTGGACACGCTTGTCTCCGGGGCTGGGGTGCTGATCCCTGTCCAGGCTCTGCCCTTTAAAAGGTGCTGCGAAAGCAGTAAGGGCAGGTGGGAGGTGGCCCCGAGGTCCAGAAAAGGAAACATTTTTCTTTTTAATCTCAACAGGGCAGGGCTGGGGGTGGTTACGGATTGCTGAGCTTCCTGCCAACCAGGGGGAAAGGCTCTGGCTTAGCATCACCTGGGGAGCCTCCAGGCTGTCCCCGAAGGAGAGGGAGGGCCAGCTCCCTGCAGTCACCATCAGGGTGCAAAGCAGACCCACAGTGGGCGTGAGGAGTGCCCCCCGGGGTTCGTACCACACGTGGAAGGTAATGGCCAACTCATCTTCAGTGCTCTTCCACGGATCCCCACAGACATCTCCTTGTACTCGAGGCCCCACATCTCCACTCACTCACCTGGTCACCTGAGCCAGGACCCAGTGGCAGACGGGTGACCGTCCACCAAGAGGCAGCAGAGGCAGTTCAGCCCCTGGAGAAGCCATGGATGTTAAAACAGGCCGCCTGGAGTTCAGCCCCAACCCAGAGCACTGACTTAGCCTCTCTGCACCCTAGTTTCCTCCTCTCGGACAGGCGGTGAGTGACCCAGGGTTGCTGTGAGGTTTGAATGAGTGAACACGTACATGTAAAGTGCTTACGACGCGCCAGACACGTGATAGCACAGTGCAGTGTCTACTAACGTGCAGCGTGCATATCTGTGCATTACTGTTCACGAGCACTTTCTACGTGCCAGGCACTGGGCCGCATACCCTCTGCGTATCATCTCATGTAAACCCCACAACAACAGTACTGTGAGTACAGCCATTTTACAGATGGGGAAGCGGAGATGCCGGAAGGTTACAGTTCTCAGGATCACACAGCTTTTGTGACAGCAAAACGACTGGGCTAAGTCACAGGAAGGACAAATACTGTACGGCCCACGTAGGTGAGGCAGCGAGAACGGTCCCGCTCAGAGAGACAGCACGTAGGATGGCGGTTGTCAGGGGCTGGGGAGGGGGGATGGGGGTCAGCGTTTCGTGGGGGCCGAGTGTCAGTCTGGGGAGATGAGAAGACCTGGAGCTGGATGCTGGTGACGGTCGCACACCGTGTGCGTGCCCACTGCCACGCACACTCGGTTAGATCGGCTGGTTTCACGCTAGTGTATTTTACCACAGGTGAAAAAACTAAGTTAAGCCACTGCCTTTCTAAGATGGGTGGAAGGAGGGGCGGGGGGAGGGAGGTGCATGGGTGGGTGGGTGAATGGGTGGGTGGATGGATGGGTGGGTGGATGGAAGAAGGAAGGAAGGAAGGATGGGTTTCCTTATTCATTCAACAAATATTTAAATACCTACTGTGAAGCAGACCCTGTTCTGAGCCGTGTGGAGATGCAGCAGTGAACAGACAGACAGACGTTCTGCTCGGCACTCAAGCACCTCGGTGTTGTATGTACAGATGGACACGCTGTGCTATGATGTGAGCAATTCACTGATCGTTTCTGCCCTTTATTGGCTACATATCTAACACGGAGCTAAGCACTGCACACGCATTCACAGCCACCTCATGAGGTAAGTCTTTATTACTTCTTATCCCCTTCTTCAGATGATAAAAACAGGGCACAAGGAACTTCCCCGAATCCGTGTAGATAAAAGCATCTGCTTCAGCAGAGCCCGAACAGGGCTGCGCAGGGTCTGCCGGCTCTCTGGCAAGAGCCCCAGGAAGGTGCGGGGTCTGCGCTCCTGCTGCTTATCTGGCGGGCTGCTCTCCCGCCTCCACACCACGGCACAATGTACAGACGTGCCTCCCCTCCCTCCCGTGTCCCTGCGAATGGCAACATAAAGCAGTCATCCAACCCTCCGCTGCCCATCTCCCTCACTCTTTGCCCAAACCCTGCCAAGTGCCGCTTCTAGAACATTTGTCTCCTGTTCCCACCCAGGCCTGTGTCGGTTTGGGCTCTTGAAGAAAATCAAACCCTCAGCGCACGTCCTCCAGGTGCCGTGCCCTGCACTGGACACGTCTCATGCATTCACTTGGTATTCACAATAAATCTCATTCTCCTATTATTTACCTATTTTCCCCACTTCACAGGTGGGCACTTCCACTCGCATGATTACAATAAATCCCCATCTGGTCTCTCTGCCTCACTCTGTTTCAGCCCATTCCTCTGTGCTGGGAGCGAGCAGGGCACAGGCTGGCACTTGGGTCCCGGCGGGGGATCAGAAGTCTCTACCTTTGCCCACTGTCTGCTCTCTCTGCTTCAGTCTCCTCTGGGATGAAAAATGGGCCAGCGGCGGTGCCCATCTCCACAGGGTGGTTGTGGGGTGAGATGAGATGGTGTGCTCAGCAAGTGCCCAGATCAGAGCAGGTCCCAATAAATTGTAGCTATTAACAAGGTTTGTAAGAGTCAGAGTAGGCTAGCCTGTGAAACAAACAACCCTGACATTCCAATGGCTTAATAGAATAAAAAGGGACTCATTGTTCACATATGGGCCATAGCAGGCTCTCACTCACGGGGACTCAGGGACGCAGGCCACTTGCATCTGAGAGGAGCCCCCCCATCTAGGTCCTCAGAGGTGCCCCACCAGCCAGCACATGGGGAGAGCATGTGGGGCTCTGGGCGGAAGGGTTTTGTGGGCCAGGCCTAGAAATGGCCGGGGTCATTCTCAGCCGTGAGTGACGGGAGAATTCGGCCACGCAGCTCCGCCTGGCCACGGAAGCCTTGGAAACAGAGTCTGGCTGTGCGCTACGCCTAGGAAGAGGGTTCTGTGAGCAGGAGCAGCTCCTGTCCCTCGGCAGTTCTCGTCCCCAGATGGCCAGTCTGATCGTGCCCTTCCCTGGCCTGAAACCTGCAGCCAGGGCCTCCCGCCGAGTCAGGGCCAAGCCGACCGAGCCAGCCGGTCCCCACGCGTCTGCTGCCCTCACGCTGCACAAACTGTCACCCGAGCGTGTGCCCTTCCCCCTCCGCCCCGCCGTCCCCTGTTCGTGGAGTTCTCTTCCCCTTGGCCAACTTCCCTCGCCCCGGTCTCAGACCAGGCGCCTGTCCTCCGGCTCCTGGGCCTGCTCCTGTCCGCCCTCTAGAGCCGACATGTCCTTCCTTTTCATCTCATGGCACATAAACTGCACACCCAAAAATATAGTCTATTTTTTGCCAATCTGACAAAAAAAATAGGTATAATTTTGATTTATTCACACCAGACGGTTATTGTCGTGTTGGCTGTTGTCATTGTTTTATTTGACAGTCTGAGGGGAAAGAGGTCAGTGCCCCTGACTAAATAGTCAGGTGTTGCAGGTTTTAAAAATTCTTGCCACACACCAGGGTTGGACTCAGTAGCTCTGAAATCAGCAGCTCTCGAGGGGAAAAACTGAGTGTCATTCAAGCAAAACAACATATTTCCACAACATAAGAATTCTTGCATGGCCTGATGTCTCCATAGGCAAAGCCCAAAATCATCAGAATAACTAGTGGGCTCGAGAAATAATGTCTTCCTAATAAATTGTTTGACTGGCAAACTTTCCAGTCTCTACCCCAGGTCTGGCTGACTTGACCAAGGCTCTAATTTGTATCGCTGTTTGGATGGCAACAGTTCAAGATAGCTCTGAATCTACAGGCACCCACCTGCCATCCACCAGCAGGTCCATTTTATCCTGGCCGCTGCCCTTCCCTCCTTTCTCTAATTGATGGCTGCACTGTCACAAAAGAGTGGGACGCTGGTGCCATGGCAGCTATTTTGAGACCATGAGGTGCAACTTACCAGAAGGTGAATCATTCATGACATCTCCAAGCCACCAGACTAACCCCAAGACCAACTTCTCATTAAATCAACCTGCATGTCCCAAATTATGTATCAGGGCACCCCAGAGAGCCACAGTGAACTCAGAGAGGGGCTGTGGGATATTTAAAATTTTCAAGGACAATATAGTGATGCTCAGTATCTGTCAGACACCATGCGAATTGCTAGCTCAAGGTAGTTCACAGTTTTAATAATAAATAGCCCTACATCCCTTCCAGTGAACATCACATCTTTGCAAAGCTGATTTTATGGAGTTGTCATAACAGAAAAGAAGTAGCACTTGAACACGGATGTGGAAGAGAGGGGGGCAGCACCTGACCCCGTTTGCTCTGAGAAACTGCAGTGCCCCAAAGGCACGCCCCTCCCATGGGAAGTAACTGGTGTTTAAGAACAACAGTTATTTAAGAATTCAATTAGTTATTTAACTATAGTTATTTAAGAAGGAAATAAAAATTTACTTCTTTCAATATATGTGTGTTTTTTTTTTAAATGGCTACTAAGTTGTTAAGACATAAGTACCAAGGTTTTGGGCCCTAACTTCTGAATAAACAGAAGCAGCAGGATTCCTCTTGGTCAGGAACATCGTGCACAGGAGAGCGGGGAGCCTCCGTCCCATCTGAGCGCGATAGCCAGGTCTCTATCTTTGCAGCAAAGAACACTTCCAGCTGATACAGTCCTCCTCCCAACGTCCGGGCACTGGGCTTCATGGTCACTGGGTGTGACGCAGACCAAAGCTGTGTGTTCCGAGATAACCACAGACCGCCCAGAGCCGCTCCCTCGCGGCCAGAGTGCGGCCGTTCCCACGGCGGAGGCTCTGCGGTCCTTCCCCATGTGTGCGCGTGGGGGACTCGGCACGAGTGGTGGGAAATGAGTCTAGGTTTCCCCTTCTGTCTGCTCAAGTCACAGGTTTACTTTGCACTTGCACCTTCCTCCCTCCGGGAGGCCACCAGCGCCCACTTGCCCCCAGCAGTCAGGTTCAAAGGGTGACATCTTGTGGGCCCCTGTAACCAGGCATCAGACAGCTTGGCTGTTTGGGATTTACCGCGAAGCCGGGCTCGGAGGGCGCGGGGCGCGGAGTGTCCCCCACGCGATCCTCCGCGGGGCCGGCGCGCGGAACCTGGCTGCCACGCGCAGGTGTGCACGGCAGGCCATGGGC